AATTTGGTTTTGCTCTTGTGGTTTGAATGTGTGTTTGAATAAGCAATTATAAAAATTATCTAGTCATTAAACAGGAAGCTTTACATGTATATGGATATCTTGGATGATCTCAGACACTTACTAATCTTTTATCCTAGCATGTGAGCACAGCCCATGTGCTTTGTTTATGGTCCACAGAATTGTGCAAAGCCAGCTGGGTTGACTAAACCAAGGTTAACTACAATAAACAATGTATGCTACCATTATAAAAGAACTGCCTTACATCAAGCCTGTGAAGGTTCACTTAGCCCAGTGTTAACTACTCGATGTGTAACAGCCTCTCTAATGTCCCATCTTCAAATTTGGATTCAGACTCCAGCTGATCTCCTGTGGGCCTTTACACATGCTTCAACATACCATCTGCCCAATAACCATTTCATTAAAGTCCTTAGGGATTCAGTCCCAGAATGTTGCATTTTCCCATTGTCTGTTTTTCCCTTGAGCTTCCTACTAACAATTTCCAAAGAGCAGATGTTATAATGCACAAAAACTTCAAATATTGGCTTCAATTTAAAATGAGAAAATAGCATCAGGCAGGACTATTTTACAATTGAAGAAAGGCTGAAATGAAGGAACAAAATTAGTTACTGCCAGAGACAAAATATTTAACATTCAGGCAAAGGTTAATTTCCTAGTTTAATAAATCACACAAATGCCTTGTTTTACTAATTCTAAATGCTATTAAGGGTACTCCTATATAATTATATATAATTATACAGAGTCCCTATAGTGAAAAACATGTTTTGTTTTGTTTTAATAACTGTAGAAGTTAACCATTTTGAGTGGGGAAGACATTCTCCAATGTTCCTGAAAATCACACCTACATGGAAGAGGCTTATTTTAAATCACACATTTGTGCTTGTGTATGCTAATTCAATAAACAATGTGTCACGTAGGAGAGTTATACCTGACATTCCAGGACAAAAATCCACTCCCAGGCTTCTCTACCCACCCTCAAATTTGCCATTCAGAAGGCTGAATTCCTGGAGCGATAGAAGCTGTGAGCAAGCCAGCTTTTTAGGAAAACTAAACTCAGGCTGGTAGCATTTGTAACCCTTTGCAGCAAGTCACTAGCCCAGGGGCTCAGTCCCAGAGAGCTTGTTTTCCCCCCACTCGACCTCCTGTGCCCATACATTTAACTCAGTTTGTCTGAAATGGTAACCACTGTCTGGAATGGCATGGGGTTTCCTGCTTGAGCAGGGGTTGGACTAGGAGACCTCCAAGGCCCCTCTCTTCCAACCCTGTTGCTCAGCCCCGGAATCCCAGAACCCAGCTCTTCTTTCTGTTTGCGCACAACTACAGGTAACCCTCGACTTACAACAGTTTATTCAGTGACCATCCAAAGCTATGACATCCCTGGAAAAAAAGGGGGACTTAAGACCATTTTTCACCACCTCTATGCGGGATCAAAATTCAGACGCTCGGCAACCACTTCATAGTTATGACTGGTTCATACTTACGACCACTGCTTGTATCCAGAGGTCACGGGGATCCCTTTTTCTTTGCCACCTTTTGGCAAGCAAAGTCAATGGGGGAAGAAGCCAGGTTCACTTACAACCGGGTTACTTACTAACTTAGCGACCAGATGCACTTACAACCGGGTTACTCACTAACTTAGCGACGGCATTCACTTAAAGTACAGGCATTCCCTTTAAAGAACAACCGTGGCAAGGAAGGTGGTAAGAAAAGGGGCAAAGCTCAACTGAGCTGTCAGCTTTAACAACAGAAACGTCGGGCTCCAGTGCGGCCGTAAGTCGAGGACCACCGGGGCAGGAAGTTGGAAATGCGTCCATTTCAAAGCTTCAGGCAAACCCCGAGAGAGGCAGAGAACCGAGACAGGCTTAGGAAACTCAGCTAAGCTATAGGCAGCCTAAGCAAGTCCAGGAAGGCTTCAGGAGGAGCAAGAGCAGCAGCCTCTCCTCTTCCTCTCCGGCCTAAAAATGCCTAAAAATCTCTCCCACCCCCCGCCCTCTGGCCTAAGTCCCCCCACCTCCCCTGGCCTTCCGTCCCCGTTAATTCCTCTCTCCGTGTTGTTGTTCCTAGCGCTTGGCGGGCGGCTGGCTGGGGGACACCTCCCCTCCGGTCCTTTCTGCCTTTGGCTCGGCTTCCCCGCTCCGTCGGGCAAGAAGGACCCCTGACCCAGATCCACCCACCCACCCACCCCCCGACTCGCCGCCCTGCCTTCTTCTTCCTCCTCCTCCTCCCTTTGCAGCCTCGACTTACGCCCGGGGGCCGCGCCTTCCTCCCGATAACGGCGGGCCGGGGGGGACTCGGTCGCTCCCCCTCCCCAACGGTCCTCCAAATGGAGCCCCCACCTCTTTCCCAAGAAACCTCCCCCCTCGCCGTTGCCTAGCAACCCCTCAACCCTTCCTCCCCCCCACGCCCCC